TTCATGCGAGAGATAAGCTTGAACTTCTCCTCAGCCTCCACCTGCTCTCGAATGTCAGTTTTTGACGCCCATCAGGATGAAACTTAGTAAGGCCCGTTTATAAGCTGCATGCACCTGAATGACCATTAAGAGAGAGAAATATCTTTAACAAAACACAGAACACAGTAAAAAAAAAGCCAGAAGAAAGATCGATTTTCTATCAGAATATAAAACTAGACAACCCAAACCTAGAAGCCATGTCAACACACGTCATATCCAGTTAATAGACAAACTACATAAAAACCAAAAAAAAAAAAAAACTTGCCTCTTGTGGCAAGGGACTACAGCCTCCTCCCACTTGTATTCCTAAGCCACGAAGCAACGAAGCCATGTCCACGCATGTTATCTCTCCAATTTATTAAGCTCTTTCCTTATTTCAATCACCGCAGTTGCTCTTTCATGTTCATATTTTCTTCATCCTGAATTTGGCACAAGTTACTAAATTGAATGAGAAAAACTTTGCAGTTGCAAAAAATTCCGTGTCTAAATTATGTATGTCCATAAAAGTAAATTTCCAAATGGCCAAACATAAAGGCAGGAGGTAAAAAAATCAAAGGAACACGAAAAAAAAATTGACATGCATGAAGCCAATCAGGACAACAAACATTGTTAGAAAATTTTAAATACATAATTACAACCTTCTTCTGCGTCTCTCTGACTTCTTCAATCCGTTCTTTTTGCCTTCTTTGCATGTCCAGTAAGCGCTTACTTTCAGCCTTTTTTTTTCTTTTACGCAACCTCTGTGCCTCCTCTGCCTGAAAGGGACATGTATGATCATTTGGTTTAAGTGAATTTAAAACTGCATGTTAATATTATGTTGCAATAAAACTATATAATGCGATTAGGTCTATCAAACATCAATTTATGAAACAGCATGAGTAGGAAACTAAATTGCACATACAATAGGCACCAATAGACATGGGAATATAATGTTAAGACCAAATAACTGTAATAACAAGAAACCATAAGCACTTTCAATATGGCAACGGAAAAAGATGCTCTCTTTTAAGGGTAGTCATGCATATATAATAAGGAGCTGGAAACCCCATGAAGGGGCCAATTTTTACAAGAACAATATGCACTAAATAAGTTCGAGGCTGATCCTTGTAAGCCACTTTTTTTCTTTGAAAAGGTTTGTTGAATAACAACAAAATCATGCACATATCCGCCCAATAAAAAAAGATCTGAAAATGCACCATATCAGTAATGCCAAAATATCACAGAAGTTTTACCAGCATTGGAAGCATCAAACAGCCAAATAAGCATCAGAAACATATTTATAAATTCATCAATCCTGGGCACAAGGCATAGCAAAAAGTCTCACGCACGAATATAGAAACATGAGGCAAAAAGAAGCTTAAAATACATAAAAAAAGCAACTGAACTAGACAGTGCAGCATTTTAGCCATGCGCTTATGTCACACATGACCTTAGTAAGAAAATTGAATTCGAGATGGTGAAATAAAAGCAACGTAATATTCAATCCAGTAGCAATTTTACTGTTATACCCTTACAGATTCACAAGCCATGGACAGCAATGGAAAGGGGGAAAAACTACACCACAGTCTTGAATACCATGATTTACAGTTTAAACTTCAAAGAAAAAAGGAGACATCATCTAAAGAATTAAGGAGGGGAAAAAAACAGTGAAGTCATATTAATCAATAGGAAGGTCACTAGTTGAAAACGCCATTTGAAGACCTCTATGGTGGCCACACTTTTCATCATCATTCTGTTCGACAGTAAGAGAAAGAAAAATATATGAACGCTATCAAAGAATGCAAAGTGAAACCTAAACTCTAACAATGATATAGAGACAATAACAAACAGTCAAAAATATTGGGAAAGAACTGGCATTTGCACCAATCAGACCCTCCTGCCTTGTAAAATTGCTTTGCAGATTTCAAACACCAAGAAAAATAGGGATACATATATTAGAGAAAAAAAAAATAAACACAATGGCACACATGCAATACCTGAACTTGCAGTTGTCGCTGCCTGGATGCCCATTCCTCTTCTATGGCTTGCTTATATTCATCAGTTTCCTTGTTTTTCTCTTTCATTAATGATATCTCTCACACACACTCTTGAGATACAGGCCCATCTTGATTAAGTTGCATTTCATCAAAATAGACACAGCCAGAGGTCTGTCAGAAAAAATTGGCATCCCTGTTCCTCAGTCCAGTTCCATCACTCTTTTGTTGTCCTTTGCTTGCTTCTTGGGTGGAGCTAACAAATCTAGACTCTTTATCACCTGCTTCTTTATTGAGCTTTGAAGCATCCATAACAGCATCACTAGCAACATCGTAACTTTTATACTTGGAGAAGGGGGAAATTCTCCACTCCTACTCGTTTCTCCACCACAGAATCAGAAGTCTTGTGTAAAGATTGCATTTTCTCAGTGGACACAAACGTAAAAAATTCTATAACTCTCTTGGTTAATTTTCTGACCAAAATCCTTAATAGGATATTCTTTCCCCATATAGAGATTAGCATCGTCTATTTGGTTGTTACGGTATGGGCTAGGTTTATCGTATTGTTAACATTGCTGGGACCAGAATATGAGGAAGTGCCTGCATCATGTCCTGTCCTATTTTCTACTTCATATCAGCATTAGAATTACTATGCAAACCAGAAGAACTGGCCTGCTCATTAAATCCAGTTCTATCATTAAAGATATGATGTCTTCTTTTAATTGAAGCTTTTTCCCATTGTTCACAAACTTCTATAAGTTCACAATCAGAACAATCACTCTCAGATGACTCACTTTCAGAGGTATCTAAAACCATAACGATTTCTGTCAGCAGCTCTTGCAGAGCTTGTTTTCCTACTTTCTGGCAACTCAGATGAAGGACAATCATCACCGTCTATGTGCACGGAATTTCCCATAAAGCCTGGAGCAGGAGAAAATCGTTTGCTTGAGGAGGCATCACTATCCATTCCCCGCCACCTTCGGCAATAATTTCAGTGTGTTCAGCTTCATCACTCTCATCATCATCAATGCTGATGACACTCTGAAGTGGATACTTTCTGTCTCTGCTCTGTGAGCTAAGCCATGCAATTTTTGTTGCATATACTCTGGAAAATCTATAATCACCACTTCATCAACTTGATCACCATCTATGTCAATAACAACATTTTTGGAATTCCCTTTTGCCTGACCAGTTTGGGTGCATTGCTCCCAGAACATGTCCGGGGTTGAAAGCGCTCTCCTAAAACTCCTTTTCCTATCATTTATCCCTGGGT